AATTAAAATATTTTTATTATAAATTATATTTCCAAATCTAATATATGTAAATCTAAATACATGATCAGGGAGTAGGCATATGATCTCTTCAAATATAATAATTACAATCAAATCATTTAATAATTACAATTAAATCATTTAATATTACAATTAAATCATTTAATAATTACAATTAAATCATTTATTATTAAACTATTTTTGTTTATTTTACACACTATATATTATATTTGTTAAATATTCTAAAAAATTTGATCCCTAAAATACAAGTTATACTATCAAATATTTTCCCATTTATTCAATAAATAAAAAATGAAGTGTATTTGCCGTTTCGGCTTTCCCCGATTTTTCCGCTGGACAGTTGCTGTTGCTTTACTTTTGTTGTTGATTTGATTTCCAACTATTTCTTTTTTTGAGGGCACAGCGATGGCGACAAAATGGACAACAACAAGAGCAACAAACAGAAAAGCAACAGAAACTCGTTCGCTTGTGTTGCTGTTACTGATGTTGATGTTGCTGCGGTGTCAGGGCAGCAGCAACATCGGAGGCAGCAGCAACATCAGAGCCGCAGCAGCAGCAGCAGTCATGACTTGGCAAATGCGCTCGCCAACATTATCGTCTTGACCATCTCGTGAACTTCATTTGCAAGCGTTGAGCGGGGGGTGGGCGCGAAAGGGGGCGGAAAAGCGGGGCAAAAGTGGGCGGGAAAAGGGGGTAATATCGGGTGGGCTGAGGGGTCTTAGGTGGGCAAATATATATTCACAGCACAGCAAGTGTTGCCAACTTTATGGCATTTACAAACACAATTACATTAGCTTCTTTGCGGGCTTCTCCTTTCTTCCCCATCTTCTTTGCCGTTTGGCTTTAGCTTTGCCGTTAGCTTTTCGGAGAAGAAGCAGCTGGAAGTTGTTTGGCGATGATGAGTTAACTGTTGACCAAGTGCGCAACCAATTTGCATTCGTTGGTTGGCAGATCTTGCTAAACGCAAATCCGCGTTGCGGGGCGACTTGAGCTGCGAAAATATATCAATCGGATGGGGAGTTTAGAATCAATTAAAAAAGACATACAGGAATCGGGGAGCTGATATTGATTTACAATAGCATAAATAAGAGGAGTTGAATATCAATAAAACTGAGGAAAAGCTATTGAAAATGTAAGATGGTCAAGTGATTTAATTTATTGCGCTCTTAATAACAAAATGCCTACAATAAGTTATTCTCTTAGTGGGTTTAAATAGTTTGTGATAGTTTGTGAAAGTTAGTTAGTTAACATTAAAAAAAGGCATAAAAACTTGACAAACTAAAATGATAGGCATCTGAAAACAAGTTAAATTTAGTGCGTTAAGTCAATAAAGTGTATGTAGGTACTTAAGATTAATTGAAGATTATGTTTGCTTTAATTGGATATTAATAAATATTTTTATGATATTTTATCAGTTCGTTGATCTTTACCTTGTGCAGGTGCATAAAATTGAGCAATTAATAACTTTGCTGTCCGTATATATTTTATATCGATTTAAATTATTCCAAAATCCGTTTAAATATACTCCAAGACATGCTTACCCTATCACAGAACAATGCTTCTTTGTGTAGTTTATAACTTCATCAGCTCCCTAAATGAAAACTGTGCAAGTTGTATGGTTTCAACTGGTTTATTATTCACCTTTATTATCCCCCAAACGACAGCTGATTCTTCGAGGACCTGCGAGCCCCATTCGGCATCTGAACAATTATTGACACGTGCTCGAGCCTCCACGGCAAACAAAACGAATGTCAAGAGGGGCGACAGGATGGTCGAGGAGCGGAGAATCCAGGAGATCAGAGCGAAGAAAGGAGAGCGAAGAGGGGACTCCCCTTTCTGCCCAGATGCATTTCCGGGCACTTCAGCTGTTGATTCGGGCCTCCGTCGTCCGCCTGCTGTTTTGTTTTGTCGATATTATCTGCAATTAAATACTCAATGCACAATGCATAGAGACAGGACAAAACAAGTAAAAATTTCAATAACTAAAAACGCACATGTCCTCGACAGGACGACCAAAAAAAAAGGTAAGAAGGATGATGATGAGCCGGGCAGATGTTAAATGAAATTTTGTGGAGCGCGTCCTGCTGCGTCTCCTGCCTACACACACTCCATTCTTGATCCTCGATTCTTCAGGGGTTGGGATCCTGCCTCTATAAACGTACAGTAATATTCCCCGGCATTATCCCCTAAATGCCGCCTGTCAATCGCGAGGGGAAAAGGAGAGCGAAGAGCGGGAAGAGAGCGAAGCTTCCTGCGCAGTTTGCGGCTCATCAGCGTCACCAGTTTAAGGAGATCTCGATGTTCTGTTATCAGACAACCCCTAAAACAGGACACAAAAGGTCGCGCATGCGCACCTCTCTCTCTCTCTTGTCTTGTTCTCCTACGTTATCTCTCTCTCCCACACATTGCACTAATTGGTTGCTCTGACACGCGTTATAGGTTTTTGAGTAGGCAACTAAAACACGAAAGGTGAGTATCAAATATTACACTGGAAAAATAAATATAATATATATTTTTTTATCGAAATATAAATCCCAGTAAATAATATTTATTTCTATAAAAAAAAAGGAATTTAAAATTAGTAATATCACTTATACATTCTTCGGTAAATGGCACTTTATTTTCTCACTGTAATCATCGAACTCCCAACAAGTTTTCTCTCCTTCTGTCGACCTACGCAATAAAGAAACCTTCTCAGTCCCATTTTCTGGCCTTTAACACATTTTCCCATTCTTGGTTTGTTGATTTCCCCTCGAAGAACCCACTAAAAAGGTGCCACAATAGAGGCACAGCGAGAAGAAAGCATTAGAATGGCATTTCTTTCATGAATGGATCGTATTTTCTTTTCTTTCCTTCCTCTGTTCTGTTCTTCTTTCCAGAGAATGTTGGAAAACTTCGGTCGATCGTCGATTGTCGTGTGTAAACAGCGTGCAAAGCGGTCATAAAAATGTGGCCAGCGGCACTCGAGGTCACATGATTAGTGTCACATTAGTTGAAGGAGTCGTGCGAGGGGAATCGAGTAAGCGGGCAAGGTAATGGTCAGCGGAAGGGGTGAATTATGCAGTCGGCTTTATATCAAAAGCTGGAGGAGAGAGACCCATGGAGAGGTTTTTACATACTCGAGTTGTGAAATATATTCCAGCTCTTATTGCTAAAATATGTTGGCAGCAAATTATGAATGCAATAAGGCGAAATAAATTTACACTAATTTGTGTAATGTATTGGAAAGCATAATACATTTTGTTATGTGAACTGAAAATATTTTTTTGGTGATAATGCTTCCTTTTTAAATATTTATAAATATTATTCCCATAATATATAAATGAAATTGCTAAGTAATTTTGTACAAGAATATTAAATTAATAATACTTTAATTATTATAAATTATTAGTTAAAATTATTAATTTACAAATAGCTGATGTCACGATTGTTTCACACACTTTAGCTAGATTAACACCTAAGATTATTAATAGTTTTGTTTAGTCATCCCAATCGGTTATAATTGACCAACTTGATCAGTGAACCAATAAGCTCTCTTCTCCCCTCTTTTATGGTCATAAATGTATGTCAATTATTGTTAAAATACCTCATAAAAGCTGCTCAATATTTTGCCTGGTTAAGCCCAAAACCCTTGATGCGGTTTCAGTTGTTATTGTCGATGCTTTTTTATTTTTTTGCCTGGTCCCAGGAAGGAAGGAGCCGTGACAGATGTTAAACCGCATCGGACAGGAACCAGGATCCTGGGCTAAAGTAGGACCTCATTGGCAGCTTGTCGAGTGCAGCACTTCGCTCTCGAGTTGAACCCTTCCGGAGCGGAAGCACAGAACTCAAACCCCCCGAAAACAAAGGGGGTGACACAGCCCATATAATACGACCTCGATTCGAAAGTGATCGCTGGCTTTCCCAGCGAGCTAATCAATCGAACGAATGTCTTCCGAATCAAGCCACAAATAAATTGAGAACAACGGCGCTGAAGAAGCGGAAAAAAGAAAGGCCACCGAAAAACAAGTTAGAAATCTTTTTTGTTTTCCATTTATTTCTCCTCTTTTTTGTTGATTTTTTTTTTGTTTTTCAGTTGCAGCGACGTCGACGACGCATCATTAAAATATTTTCCACTCTTTGGTTGGCTGTTTGGTGTTAAATCAAAAACCACTTGAACGAAATAAAATCTTTCTCACAGTCCGCGGTCGCACAATGGCCAAATGGTATGGTATTGTATGGCATGGTATGGTATGGGGGGGGACAAACAAATTATGAGAACGTTCGGGATCAAGACGAGAAGAATGTTTTCTTTTTCTGGTTTCTTCGGTGGGTTCAGCTCAGTTCTTTTGGTCTCTTTTGTTGTCCGACGATGTCGTTGTTGTTAAATTGATGACAACAACATCAGAAATGCTGAAGCGTGCGCTTCAAAAATGTATCTGCATAGTCGCCGGAGATACAAAAGCGAACGCCGAGATACATTTCGGTGTGCTGACCGTTTTGCGTATCCGTGACGATTTCTCGTTTACCTGTGCGACACAGACCCAAAAAAGCAGACAATAAATCAATAATCAAGCCGCCGAACGAGAGAGAGCAGTCGGATGGATGGACGGATGGATGGATGGCTGGATGGACGGATTGGTTTGGAATCGACTCGGATCGAAAGGCGAGTCTGGGGCCTTATCATCATTATTCAAAGCGAGCCACCAACGCCGCCGACACCGCCACCGCCGACACATAGAAATGGGAATAGAAAAATAATAATAATAACGAGAACAACAAACAGAGACCGAGGGAAAACAAAACAGAACCAAATCGAACAAAACGAGTTCCTAGAGTTTCTAAAAAGCCATAAAACGACGACGAGTTTTGATTTGATTTTCGAGATCCAATCGACTGGCATAGAACACATGTACGGGTATGTAAAAAATACATTTCAATTCACACTCAGTCCAGCGGTCCGGGATCCATTAAAAAAAACCCCCCAGACGAACCATCCGAAAATGCGTGGATGCTGTGGGAGAGAGCCGACCAGAACATATGTATATTCTGGACACAGACCTCGACAGAGGCAGCAACTCGTCATCGGTTATATCAGGTTCGGGGTTTTAGGACCACAGAAAGAGAAAATTTCTGATTATTTTTTAAGTTAAGTTGGTAAATATTAATTGAAAGATAATACCAAAATTTTAAATGTTTAAAAAATATTTTTAGAAACTGTTTTTGAACTTATATTGGTTATTAAAATGTCCATATATTTTTCTTAAAAATTTAAATAAAATTGTTAATATGAAATAAGATTAATAAATACCCATTAAATTATAACAAAAATGTGTTATTTATTTAAAAAATACTGTGAAACAGTTAAAATAATATTTAGAATTTGGTTTTACTCGACTTTTCTCGCAGTGCAGGAGGAAAGAGCAGTGCGACAGAGTCCAGTGGCAACCCACGCCTGCGTTATGATTTTGTGGCCATTTTATAACTAACAACATTCCAGCGGCGCCGACAACTGAGCCAGAGTCCCCAGTTCAGTTCTCCATCGAGAGTTCCCATCCCAGTTTTAAGACCCTGTCCACGGGGCCACACACATCGATGGTTTAGCCGATGACGATGATGATGACCGCTCTTTGCCCCAGGAAGGAGGAAGGAGTTGGGGCGAAGTGCACTGGAAACGCCGTCTGGTGACAGAAGCGGCAACGGGAGCAGAATCAACCGCTCGAGGAGGAGGATGTGAAGGACCGGATGACCGATCGAAACCTGTTGGGGTGATGTGATGCCAAAGGACGGAAACCCATTCCGATTCCAACTAACTTAGCCGTTCTTATACCCTTGCAGAATGCTTTATATTTTTTGCCAGGAAATAAATGGGCTTAAAAAAACCGCAATTCTAATTAATTTGGTATGAAACCCTTGGAGCTTTAAAGCCTATTCATTGATTTTTATTTTCTAATTTTATTCTGAAAAATTATCGTATTTTCTTTATATATTATGCATGCTCCTTCTTATAAAGGTTCTCATCATAAGGCAACCCTTCTTTCAATAAGAAACCCATAAAACGAAAATAAATATTTTAAGAAGTCATAAAACGTCTTATAATTAGGCAAATTATTGCGAAGAGTTTATTTATATTACGTTGTGAAATGACTGAGATAAAGACCTTCCGATAAGCTGCCCCGGTGCAAAAGCGAAAGATAAACTCTTGGGATCGGATTGGATCGTTCGTTTTGTACATAATTTAGGAGCTTATCAAAATTGGATTTTTATCGCCATTCCGAGAGCAGCGAGATAAAGTTTCATGTTCGCGCGACGAGTATTTGCAAATTGGTCTTTGCTTCGATAGGCGGGGAGTAGTATCTGCGTATCTGAGTGTCTGAGCAGAACATTTCCTTGAACTACCGCTAGAAGATACATATCTATCTACAGATAGTCTGCGCCCCACATTCCACACGTGGCCCTTCCGCTTATCACCGCTGCACTAGATACAATTTGTATCTGTATCTGCGGTCGACTTTGCTTTTGCTTTATGGCCTGTTTCCAATTGTCTGCAGGTCCGCACATCGGCTCACATGTTTTGTATAATTATCGTGGTTAATGTCTCCGCGCTGGCTGGCTGATAAAACATTTTATCAGTTTCGGTTTTCTTGTTTTTTTTTTATTTTTCTTTCTGTGCCCCGTACTCTTTCGCTTTGTTTCGAGCGAGCTGTGCTGTTTGCCTTTTAATTAAGTTGAACAAAAAATATTGTCAACGCATTCTTTAACTTAGCAACAATTTCAGGTGGTTTGACCTTGAGTCGGGCAACGGCAAGTAATAGCAAAACGCGATCAGTCCAAGAGATACAGTGTATCTGCAAATCAACTTTCAACGCAGCTCTCCGACTGAAAATGAAAGTCGGAATATTTTGCAAACAAAAATTTTGTTATAATGGCCTCAAACTGCAGCGCGGCTCAAACAAAGTTATTACGGCCTAAGCTTTGTTTGCCTTTCTGGCTCATGGCAAAAAACCCACATGACCAGATCGGCCCCAGATTTGCCCCAGCATCAGTTTTTTTAGCCTCAGCATTAGCCCCCAACCACATGGCCAAATTGCAGACTTGCCGGCCAGGAGTTGCCCAATCTCGGCTAAGATGCTGCATAATTAGCTATAATTTGTGAGCCAGCGAAGTGAAAGTCCAGGCTGAACCCCAGATGGGATCATCTATCGGCCGGCTTCATCTCGGCCTCATCTGCAAACGGACGAGTTGCCGTAGTTGGATGTCAAAGGAGCAACTCCAAATTGCCGGACATGCAGATGAGACATTTTCGGGGGTCATAACTGGATATCTTAAATATTTCCTTATTTGCATTGGTAAATTGCTGAAGACAAATTGTTGGGGGATATGTATTTACTAAAGTTCATTTTTTACCACAAAAATTTGTATATATTTAAATTATATAAAATTTAATAGATTTATTATATAATTATTTTATAAATATTTTTGCCTTACATTTTTTGTGTGTAACACATTCATTTTTTTTTTTTTTTAGGGCCAATGATTAATTTATTCGTTTTTTACAAATTATAAAATGGTTTTGATTAATATTCTAATGTTTTCAAATTAGTTGTACCCAAATTAGGAACATATTTACCTTAAACCTTTTTTAATTATTGTTTCTAATTGTAAATATATTCGTTCTATTTGCTTTTCAATATTATTTATTGTTTTAAGCAAGTTGAGTTCCAATATTGTTTTCCTAACCCATTAAAAAAGATATTATACGACCCGTAGACCGAGAAAAAGTGAGTGATAAACGATGTCAAGCTCAGATTTTATTGGACTCTTCCAGACCTTTCCCCCGAACACCGAGTCACTGGCTTCGGGCCGTCATCAAAAGCCGCATCATTATGATCATTGTCATCGTGGTGATCATTAGAGTGGCCCAGAAGAATGCATTTGCATTTGGCCGGCATCAACAGCTCCGTCACATCCACAACCATTTTCAGCTCGTGATCGCGGTGCGTCTTACTGCCTTTGTGTGTCAGTTGCATTTACAGCTACGACAAAAAAAAAGCATTTCGAGGCTTTTCATCTCTATTTTATGATCCAGCTAACGGTTTCGGGGCATTTCCCGATGATGAAAACTCTTTCTTCGCCATACAAAGTCGCCTGTTCTGTTCTGTATTTTCTTTTTAAGAGGGGCCTAGCAGACATGTGACTCTGTTTTAAGTACAACAATAAATCGAGACTTAAAGAGCGGAGGGTTGGCGGGATGACGGAGCCAAGGGGAAAACCACCACCCACGTAACGGCCGAAGACAACTTCATAATTCACTCAAAGAAGTATTTTTCCTTTGCCTTGCCTAGTACCCCGGCTTCAATCTCAATCTCGGCCTACGGATGAATCCCAAAGTACATAAGTAGGTGGCGGGCTATCCACGAGATACTTGGTGCGTATAGGAATTGTGCTCAATTTCCACAGACGCACACTGTGACAATCGGGGGGCCTTATCAACACAGAAGCATCATCTTGCACAGCATGCTTTTATCTCTCTCTCAGTTTGAGTCGTTTGAGAACAGGCGTTCAGAAATGGCCAGCAGCTCACTCCACTCACAGAAATCGGGGGCTACGAATTGGATTGGAGGCGTTTCGTCTATATATATTTTCGCTGGAAGCGCACCACTCGGGTTCTCTCGTCTCGTCTCTCTGTTCTGGGTTCTCGGTGCTCGGTTTTGGGTTTTCGGTTCTGGGTTCTCACGGGGCGAGATGTGCGAAAACTGGAAATGGAGGAGCTGAGTTGCAGAACACAAAAGCCACAGGGAAACCCAAACTCACACACGCACACCAAAGCCAAAGGAAGTCCAGGAATGAGGCTGAGATTCAGGGGACGCCGGCACGAGGAGGGCAGTTAGCTCAGAGACAAGCGCAAATGAATCGAAATGAGGCGAAATGCAGTCGCAGAAACAGCAGCTGAAGCAGAAGCTCGCACAGGGAAAACTCCTTGGGCAAAACCTGAAAAACAACAGACATGGTAAGGAAAATATTCAAGCCTCCTTGTAAAATATAATTGAGCCATATTGAAAAAATGTGAAAAAGTTAGTCGTGTTAAAATGTTAATCATTTGGATACCCTTTATTTTAATTTTTTTATAATTGCATTTCATTAAGTTGTCGAAATCAATCCTTCAACTACTTTTACTACTACTTTCCGTTAATGATAAAAGTATTTTAAAAAGTAATCATCAAATCAACTTAATCATTTAAGATAGCTAATACGGAAATAGTGAAAAATAACTAATAATAAAATGTATTAAATTGTATAACATGGTTATACTTTAATTGGTTAATTACTTAACAAGTAATTAATCCCTTGGAAATGATTTATTTTGCTAAGCTTTTTTAAACTCATTTCTGATATTGTGTTCTTCTAAACGTGAAATCGATGAAATCGAAATCTTATGGTTGATGATAATAAAGTACATTTATTTTCCAGAACTTTCCCCTCTAGATGTTCCACCCTACTAAGGGTCCACTGTATATAAATCTACTGTCAGAACATCGGGCCTCTGTGTCTCTGTCCCCATATCTGTTTCTCTGGTGCTGTTTCGGTGCTCGGTTTTTAGTCTCGGCCACTTGGCAGCTGTGTGCGCGAACTGAGTTTCGCTGGGTTGAGTGTGAGCAGCTTAAAAAGCAACGGCTGCCACTGCTGCCCCTCCTCGAATGGCCCCTTTCCCCAATTACTTTCCTCTTTATTTCTGGAGAGAAGCTTCTAATGCATCGGGGCTGGCGTAATAAGCGCAGTTTTTGTTTGAAAAAAATCACGACAAACAGAGAGGGGCAAACTGGGAAAGCGAGGGGTTGAAGATTGCACTCTGGGAATATATAAGTATATAGAGAAGCGTCTATGTGTCTGTGTCTGTATATCTGATGGAGAATCATTCAAATTCGTCGAGTTTTCTTTGGGAGCAAAGTTTTCTCTGCAACTCAGTGACAATGAAGCCATCCTGGAACCCTCCAAGAACCAAGTTTTCGAGGGGATTTGGGGGGCCTGCTACTTTATCGTGAAAACCCAAAGTATGCACTTAACACAGTTTTATCAACTCTGCTGCTCAGCATCTCTGTCGCTCTTTCTCCGGCTGAGAATATCGCTCATTTTCAATAAAAATAGCTTAAAATTGTAACAGGCGAACAGCGGAGAAAAGAGTGCGAATTCTGTGGAGAAGAGGGGGAGACGAGGAGGCAAGTGGCAAATGATGATGCTTGGAAGAGAGCGAAGCTCTTCCCGGCTTTGATTTTAGTTTTAGTTTGAGGGGAAGTGCAACGCCGACTTGAATTTTTTTTTGTGTGCCGAACTTTATTCTGCTAAGAGAGGCGTTGCACTGGTAAAAATTTGCCTTTGGTTTTTATCGACTTCTGGACTTGTAGAATTCCTAAAACTTATATTAAAATTCAAAAATATCAAAAGAAATAAATATATTTAATTACAACGTTTTCGATTAGACCTTCTTTTATAATCCTTTTTTATATATTAAGTGTCTTGCTTCTTTAAAGACAGTCTTTAAATATTTTTTTAAGTCCTACAAATAAAAACATGTTTTTTTTACGTATAGATATTATTAGGGTAATGTAATAATTAATTCCAGCCTTTTTTCTCAGTGTACCCCATCCCTTAATCGCCTAGAGAATGCAGAGAACTTTGCGACTGGCACTTGCTGCTGCTTTCCTGCTTTCGCGAGCGCCGCAGATGCAGATGCAGCAACATCAGCAGTGGCAGAGTAGCAACATCGCAGCAGCAGCAGCAAAAGTAGCAGCAGCAATTCGCATCTTCTGCTGGCACGTTTTTACTTCCGGTTCGTGACACTCGAGGGGCGGAGGGGGAGGGCGGACCTTCGACGGGGAGAGGGAGGAAGCGAATTCCGATCCCAGTCGAGTGGTTTGTTTGGCTGCTGCATTTTTTGGAGCGCTGCCTTTGTTGTTGTCGCTGCACGTTTGCGGTCGTTGGCATCAGTCTCATTGCATTTGTTTTTCCATCTCGTTCTGAAGTAACAGCGGATGCTGCTGCTCTCCCCCTTCTTGCAGCAAATCAGCATCTTGGTGGCATCTGTAGGTGGAGCTGTTGCAGCAGCATCAGTAAGCCGTAAGCAGCTGTCAGTGGCTGAGGATGCTTACCACACTCCGCTGGGTCGTTTCAATGGCGTTTTGCAACCGAAAGTGTTGCCCATCGGATTCTAGATGGCAGATTAAGTGAGGTTTTTGTACAGTACAAAAGGAATAAATTCTAATAATTTAAAAAAATTTAGCTTTTTTAAATACAGTTTCCACGCAAGCTAATTTTTCAAAAAGTAATAAAAATAAATGTTCAGATCAAATACGACTAAAACTAATTGTCAGCTTGGTCTAAAACTTTAATTTATACTATCCTGTCTTATTTCAAATCCATGAATCTTAATTTTCGTACTTGCCATTTTCATTCTAGCCTTCTAGTCGTATACGCAATGATTACGACACGTCTTAACTTTACTATTCGAGTGCCTGATTAATTGGCAACAAGTGTTTGACTCCTGTCCTGAGTGATTGGCTGAGAAAAGGTCTCGATTCTCACCTCAACGCAACTCCGCAAGTGCTGATCGTGTTGTTGAACATGGCGTATGCGCAATGTGCTTCTCCCTGCCTCGACTTCCAGTTCTTTTGCGAGCCAAAAGCGGTGAGGCCAAAACAACATAATTAAGTATTTATTTATTTACGATTTTGGGCAACAACTACTACAGCGATTTGAATGCAACAACTTTGGTGCATTGGCGCTTTGCAGCTTCAATTTCAATCAAACAAAAAACCTCTTAGCGAGTTACAAAAACAGTGACGAATGCACCTCTAGTATACCAATTTTGTATATAAAAAAAAGCAAGTAAAATTACGAAAAATTACTTTAAATTCGAGATATAAATACATTTTTTTTATATAGTTACATTTTGTTATGCATTATAAAAACATTTCTATCCTTTCCTTAAAAAAAATTGTTTAAAAAAAATGTACGATGACTTCATTTGCAATTCTATATTCCTTTTACAATTGTTAAACTTTTCGGTAGGATGTTAGCTATAATAACACAGGTCGACAAAATCAAGACATTTTCTTGGCCCAAGAATAAACGCAACAAAACCTGAAAGAATTTTAGCTTTAGATTACTACCTCATACTTGGAAACTTTCCACCACGTCGAAGTTTTTAGAAATCCGTGGTCAAAGTTCCAAATTTTCGATTTTTAGGCACTTTTTGTGGCTTTCTATTAAGAAAACCTTTTGTAGACCAGAGCCCCAATTTAGCGGAAGTGGTACCTTGAACCTTTAACTTCAAGAGTGTCCAATTGCAAAGCTGGGCGACCTCTATATCTTTAGCTACAATGAATTTTACAGAAGTACTTTTGGTCACTTTTTTTCATCTATAGTAGCCTGATATTTTCCTTGTTGAACTGAGACCCGTACACATACAATACATTAAAAATATCAGGTTACTATAGATGAAAAAACCTGCCAAAAAGTACTTCAGTAAAATCCATTGTAGCTAAAGAAGTAGAGGTCGCCCAACTTTGTGATTGGACAATCTTGAAGTTAAAGGTTCAAAGTACCATTTCCGCTAAATTGTGGCTCTGGGCTACGAAGGGTTTTCTTACTATTAAGTAGCGAAAAGTGCCTAAAAATCGAAAATTTGGAACTTTGACAACGGATTTCTCAAAACTTCGACGTGATGAAAAGTTTCCAAGTATGAGGTAGTAATGTACAGCTAAAATCCTTTCAGGTTTGGTAGCTTTTATTCTTGGGCTTTTTTTTTGTCGACCAGTGTAATTATAATTATTTCCTGATCTTCTCAATTTCGCCTCTGACCTCGAAGCACACAGAATACGGACGCTTAATGTTGTTCTCGTCGAATGGTTCAAATGTGATCACAAGCTTATAGCGACCACGAAAAGGAGGGCCAATGACGTTATCGAAACGCAAGTTAAAGGTGAAAGGAGTATATACCAGAACGGTCTAAAATAGGTAAGGTGTTTATAAAGCGGAGTTACAGCACACGTTTGAGCAAACCGCACATCTTTCGTGGCAATGCACTTCTCTCTCATCTCCTCGCGGTTCGCAAAGTATTGAAACCAATATTTGAACCAATATTGGTTCTTGTTGAACATCACAGAGCAAAAGTCCGGAGCGTGCATGTTAATAGCCGTTGGCTGCCAGGTACCACGGTCATATTGCATCAAATTCACCCTGGCCTGCAAATGAATTCGGTTAAAATCCAAGGCTCTCTTAGATGAGCTGAATTTACAGATATCCGATCGGTGGGCGCAATATTCCAGACGGTGGTCACATTTCCCGACAAGTGAAGGCCATCTTCGTCCATCTCGACCAATGCATTGTCCATATTGTAGGCTTCACGTAAACCCATCGATCCGGGAGGGCCGTCGATACACGGCACATATAAATCCGGATCGAGATGCAGTATGTAGTCCGTGGCCAAAATACTGTTCACGATCACAGCGAGAATGGTAAAGGTTCTGAACATTTTGCATGCCTCGGATCGTTGATCCGACCTTATATAGTGAAATGGCAACACATGGAACTAATGAACTTAATTACGGATTTACATTACAATCCGCCTTATCCCAAATGTCATCAAAAAACATCTGACACACACGATTATTATAAAATCAATAGTATCTTCTTTTGAAACATTTTTAATACCCAGTACTCACACGCAAGAGGTTTTTTAGTTTGTGGCAGGAATGTTTAATTTATTTTAGTTATAGAGAACACTTAATTTGAAAAAATCACGTTTATCTAATTTACTTATACAAAAATGTTACTTATTTTTCTGTTATAGGTATTTAACTTTGTAGCTTGCCATTTAAAAACCAATTTAAAAATGAATAACTTTGTATTACAATTTGATATAATTCAGGACTACAATTTTCCATGCATTAATTTTTCTCATTTATGAGCATTTATTAAAACCAAAACCATTGGATATAACTCAAAATTCGTTACTACGTAGACGGGCGTTCATAGTGATTTCAGCTTCGACTGTGTTGCCACAATTGCTCATTTTGCTGGCTGCTTTGTGGCAACCTTGTGCTAAATTTTCCAAAACGTTGAGCCTCGTCGCCGTCGTCAGCCACCAAAAAGTACGAAATACAAAACACAAAATCGAAAAGACGAAAACCGAAACCGACAAAAAAACAACCAAAAACTCTAAAAAACAGAAAAGAAAAACAAACTATGTTGCAACTCTTTGCCGGGCAGCAGCAGCAGCAGCAGCAACAATTGAAGCTGGCGATAAATGTCAGTCAAAGCTCCGGCCACGCCCCCTCCCCCATGCCGCCCCCCTCGATTGGCTGACGCATAACTGAAAAGGCAGCGGCACAGTCACAGCTAGATTTTCCACTGCGATCGCATTATTTATGCTTATGAGCCAATGTATCTATCGGATACAGATGACGCTGCCACCGCCGTTGACTCGCTTTATTAATTTCCAACGGCTCGTGAGATTGACACCATTTGCGAGGCAAAGATGACGCTGTGATGACCACACCGCGGGGCCTCGAGAATAGTTTACGTATTGGATTGCCTGGCAGGGTGCTGAAAGAACTATGCAAATCAAATCACGCAATGATTGGAAAATGTTTTTTATTTTTTTGAATTTTTGTGTCAGTGTTTTCTTGAAAAAAAATAAAGAAGTATTTGTTAATTATAAGGAATTTATATATATTCAAAATAAATCATAAACTCTTGATATAAATAAAATTAAAGTTCAAATAAAATGTTGAAGCAATATGCTTAAAGGATAGTCAGTATATTTTCTACGAATCATCGAAACCGACGTCTCAACTTGATAGTCTTCGTCTTGTAATTTGGTAGTTGCATAGCTCATGGCCATGCACTTGGCATATGAAAAGCTCCAATTAACGCATTGAGAAATCCGAGGAAAATCAACCGAAGTCGAGTGAGCATATTTAAAAGAAAACCAATGTAACAAATATGGCAATACCCTCTTGAAAGAAAAACCAAAGAGTTGCGAAGAGCCAATTTGAAATGGTTAAAAATTCGAACTTAACCTTTCAGAAAGTGTAAACTGGTGGAAACGTTGCGGTAGGAAATTACTTTAATTTGTTGATCCCCATTGTTGCTGCGGCTCTAGATGAAACTTGGCTAACTGAATGAGTGGATGGATGAGTGAGTGACTGGACTGGCTGACTGCTTGACTGGCGGCCACATGTTTTCACATGATTTCCACACGACGGACACGGACAGGTGAAAAGCAAGGTAAAAGAAAACCAAGTACAAGACCAAGACCAAATCGAGACAGCAAAGATTCACTGGAGCACGAAAAAGAAACCGGGCAGGAGAAAAAATGGAACCCAAAATGGAATGCTCGGTGGAAAAGTGTTGACTGGGCTGCGGGCCAAGGCAAAAAAGCCAAGAGTCAAGCCGAAGATTTGACGCGTTGTCTGGGCAATTCCTAAAGAGAAAGAGAACGGAGGAATCCGAAAGATATAGCCATAGGGAAGGCTTCCTCTTCGACTGCCTCCCGGGGGCCCAGACAATTGATCTATCACATTGAAATTGTTGCGTTGAGTGGAGCTTGTCTCGTTTTGTTTTGGCTTGAAAAGGGGTTCTTTCGCTTCCTTCTTTTCTCGGTTTAATTGTTTCTTAAAATGCAAATTTGAATAATTATGAGCAGGGGCTCCACCGGTTTTGATGGCTGACAACTGATTTGTGTTGACTTAGAGTAGAGACCTTGTATGGATGATAGAATAGGATGAGTAGACATTAACAAGGGGGAATACCTTGCAGTTAAGCGGAATAAATCGGGCTTTTATCGGAGGATTTTTGTGTGCAAATAAGGAAATAAATTAATTCCTAAGGACCATACCAGTTGAAATATAACCCTTTTAAGACCAAAAAGGATACAAATAATTTTCAATCTTAATATAATATAATAAGTTATGATTACTAAGAACACAATAAATGTGTTGTGACTTGTAAATTTTCTAAATATTAAACATTTAAATTGTTTTAATGGATACAAATAGTTTTATCTTCTGGAAAAAAAGAAGAAGCCACTCCTCTTTTCGAAAAAAAACAGCCATAAATTTAATTTGTAGTTCCTCGGACTCTTTATCCCATCATAACCTGGGAAACTTTACGCTTTTAGCCATGGCCCTCGAGTGCCTCAAGGTCATTCGCGACCGTTGCTGCGGAGTTCATAAATATGCATGGGTGATATGGCGGCATATCACAATACTTATCTCGAACTGAACAGAACTTGCCCTAGCACCTACACATATCCACTATTTATATACATATAATGTACAGTGAGTGCGAGTTTGAATCTCAATCTGAATCTGAGTGCAGAGACGAGTGCCTGGCTACATTCGTAAACAGTTCATTGATCCCCCTAGGGCAAGAAAATCGTAGAAAACGGGGGGATTTTAAGGGGATGCCCGACGAGCGGCGACTTTGAGACGACTCCAAGACGCACACACACAGATGGAGATAACTCACATAGATACTAACAGTTGCGGTCAAAATTATTTGATTATTGGCTACATTTAATATTATATAGTTCTACCTAGATAAATGCAAATGTTTTGATGATAATTATGTAATAACAATATTTCAAATGTACTTCTTTTAAAAGCATTTATTGAGGTGCAGAAGTTTTAGATTTCTAAAATTAATAAAATATTCTAAAATAAATTTTATTTTATTTTACAAGGCAATAGGGTAAGACTTTCTTAACTGCGCACTACCCATCTTACATGATATAAATCGAAGTATTTATTTTCCAGATCTATTCCATTCATGGTATTTGATATCTTATTTAAAATAGTTATTAGTTTACTATTTTTTGTTTAATGTAATTTATTTAAATGCTTTTTTTTCATTCTTACTACCACTTTGACCTGTGCTGTTCATTACTAAGCCTCGTTGACTGCAGTTCATAAATCTTGGCCCTTAGTACTTACTGATACTTATATTTCTGCCTACTTTGCTGATCCTCTGCCTTATTGTTGCTGCACATTGTTTCGGACTTTTAGCTACCACTTTATGATGACTATTTTAATATTAAACTAATGAATGCGTCGCAGGCACGCCGACTGTAACTGCCAGGCCCCACTACCCTTTTCCTGAAGACCAATGCTCTCTGTAGAAAAAATATTTATGAAAATTTTCCCTGCCACTTTGCGAGACGGTCGACCCTTTTTGGAATTACAGACCATTGCTAATTTATGCGCCTTTTGTATGATTTTTCATTTGAGTTTTTACTTTTCTTTTGGTCCGGCGAGGGTATTCCCCATTTCCCTCGACCATTTCCTATCCCATGTCCATCCTTGGCTTCAAGTTTGCTTTGTGCTCCGCTACCAGAAACTCGCACTCGAATTCACTTATATTTACTCATATGTGGCAGCCGCAAGGAAGTTCGTGAAGAGCGGTTAACTCAGAGGGGCGGGTTGTCTAGGGGGGCTGGGTACCACTAATTGCATGATGGGCCATGTAATGGGCTGTGGATGGGCGTGGCATATCGCATAATGTGTGTATACAGTTGAAAGACATGAATGGGAAAGTTTGTTTTCGGCAAATGAGTCCGAAACACGGATTAAACTAAGGGAACAAAGGAATAAGTAATGCTTACAAGACGATTTGATAGTCATAAAAGGACAGGTTGTTATTTTATTTACGAAGGGTAAACCTTTAAAAATGAGTGAATAAGTTCTTTAAAATAAAATTAGAAAATATCCTATAAACATCGCCTAAAGATTAAATAATCGTATTATTATTAACTTATAAAAAAGGGTCTAATTCTTTTTCATTCTTTTAGTCATAAAAATCGAATAAGAAGGAAAGTTTCTTTTCCCGATCTTTCGGATCCACTCCCACTCCTGATCCTCCTCATCATTGAGGGCTGTTAAATTTAGTGCCTCCACTTCAATTTTAATTACGATCCAACGCCAGAGCAGACTTCCTCGGGATGGGAATAGGAAAAAGAGGGGAAAGTGAGACAGAGACTCCCTGAATCGCATTCAGTATCTGTTGCACACATGTTATTGGGGCCCCACCACCCATTTTCCCCCTATATCACCATCACCCCGCCGTCTCCGCCCTTGGGTTCCTTTGTTTGGTAGACAATTTAACATATTTGGGAATTCATTGCACTTTCTTTTATTAATACGCACACTCGGAACGAGGCGAAGTCGAGAGCTCGCCCTCTGAGTTCGTCTGGAACATGTGTAAGTGCATGTCCCTCCTGCCAGTTTTTACACATTACACAGAAAGTAAAAGAACAAATATTTAAAAACTGAATTTCCAAAACTAAAAATTCTAATACAGAAGTTCAGATCAGACTTACAACATTTTAAAAACTGATCGGTATATTAATTTTTAATAATTTAATGATATTTTAGATATTTTAGAAAAATTCTAAAAATTCTTCATTTCTAAACCAGCAATTTATTTTTATTATATGTATATTTTAAAATGGTTTGCATTTTTCTCTGTGTAGCT